ATTAATTTTTCTTTTCTACAAGTTTTCCTAACCCTTAATACCCTCTTCTTTTGGTTCTTAATTTTGTTTTTGGTTTCCCAAAGGACATGTCTCCTTTTAATCAAGGCTCTGCTACCCTACATACTCTACTTACGTCTTAGCTAATGTATATCTTTGTGTCATAATTAAGACTTTGTACATATTGGACTGTGTACATATTTGATGAGTTATGATATATATATGTAATTAATGATATAAATCTGAGTCATTAGCTCACACTGGGAGAAATAAAAGAGCCAGTGACAGTAGCTCATACATATAATCCCCACATCTGGGATTCAGAGAAAGAATTGGGAGTTCCTGGCTGACCCAGGTTACAGAGTGAGGCATTGTTTCAAAAAGAAAAATAGTTTTTAAAATGTTTATATAATGGATACTCCTGTTGTTATTTCCTTAAAAGAATATGTGAGAGGCAGCACATTGTCTTTCCCATGAACGCTTGCATAGTGTATGGTGTCCAGAAGCACAGAGACCAGTTTCCGACTGGGATTGGACCTCTACTTGAGGCTTAACTATGGATATCTAGGTCCTTTATTAGGGAGCTCATCAAAGTAAAAATGTTGATTATTCACATCAACTGCACATAAACATCATCTTATGGAGAAAAGTCCCTGTATAAATTCAGTGGGATAAAGATATTAGATGTCAGATCATCAATAAACAAAAAGATATAAGCTGAAAAAAAATTTAAATCCTAGGCTACGGTGATAAGGCTGCTTTGCCCAAATTCCATGGCCTTTGGCACAGTCCGGAGAAGGTAGCAAAGGCAAGTTTACTTCAGATCATGACATTAAAAACTATGCATATTTTGAAGCTTACTTCTATTGCAATAACTAGCTAGAGTTTTTGAAGTATATCAGAACAATATTTAACAAATAAAATGAAATTATACACTCAGCATCACCAAATAAATACAAGGATGCAAGCAACCATCTGTACTGACTCCTCCTGTGCAATGATAAGATGCACTGGCCAGAAAAGGTAAGAATGAGTGCATCCTCCACAAAGTTTATGTTACAGCAGTACTTGCCAAAATGTCTGTGGAAAGGAACTGCCTGAAGCCAAGTTTTAAAACCCAGCACTTGGTGAAATACGGAAACTAAGATGAAAAAATAAAGTGAGTTGGCAATGATAAAGACTTGTAGTTGTTTTCTTATAGTGTGACAAAATATTGAAAGTCCAGCACTTGGTGAAATACGGAAACTAAGATGAAAAAATAAAGTGAGTTGTCAATGATAAAGACTTGTAGTTGTTTTCTTATAGTGTGACAAAATATTGAAAGAGATTGAGAGAGACAGTGAGACAGAGGCAGAGAGAGAGGAGGGGAGAGAGAGAGGAGAGAGAGAGAGAGACTAAGAAGCAATAAAATGCAGAATCTGAACTTATTGGACCTCACAGAACTTCGCAATATTTACAAATATCTAGATGTGGTCATCATTTAGTCAAAATGTTTTGGCATCCCATAGACCCAGCCTTTGACAATTTTAAATGGGATGTTTGTTGTATGAAAAGGACAAAGTTCAAGTCATGGAAAAAGGACATAAGCCCGAAGCTGTCAATTAATAGAAGCAATCTATTTGAGTACAGCAACTTGTGAGGTCCTATTACCTTTCCTGCTATAAAACTTAGGAGAGGGGATGGGGAGCGAGGGAGTCCGGGAGGGAGTACACAGGAGTTCTCCATTTTACTATCTACTATAAAAAACCTAGCTCTGGGAAGTCTGGCATATTTGAATAAATATTCATTTCACCACCTTTCTGAGAATTTGATCTGGTAATTGAATTGTAATCTTGTATACAGATCTGTGTTTATACCAAAGATAATAGGAATAGTACAGAAAGTATACAGTTTTATTACACAGAGATGAATCATCATGTGTAAATTTGAGGTAAATTTCCTGAATTCATGACACATATTCAAATGTTTAAGTCTAGTTTATAATGCCTCTGCCTCCTGAGTGTTGGGACTAAAGGCATGAGCCACCGTATCTGGTTTCAATTTCTTAAATTATGTGCAGATAGTAATTTTTCTTATTGACTTCTTTTTTTTCTATAAATCGATATGAAAACTCAGGATAAATTTGGGTGATGGGGAGCAAATCTAAGCATAAATAAATAAACAAACAAATAAAATTAGCTTTAATTCATTATAAAATATATGGTTCTTTTCCCATGATTATTTGGCAGCAAATTCTGATTACAGATCAACTATAATATCCTATTTTTCTACATGTTAAGTTAAATAGACATCAATAAAATTCAAAGAATTTTAATTTCATGAGACTATTTTTGAAACTTCATCAGAGAACACAGTCTATTCATAACTGATAACAATGCTGTTAAAAATATATGAATTGAATTTCCCTGCCAAGGCATCTATTCCTTTATTTCTGTTGTCTACACTGTCTTTCATTACAACCAATATTGGGCACTAACCATTTGGATTTGCAGTCAGTGTATTCTCCACTTTATTATTTAGCAAATCATTAGCACACTGCATCATTTCATGAAAATAGAATAAACAGAATGCTTGTTTAAGCTTATCTTTCAAATTTAAGGAAAAGAAAATCTTAGATCATACTCCTACAATTGCTTCTGATTTTGGTTGACGTATCATGACAAAGGTGAATTCGTGTTTCAGAAAAACACTAAATTATTCACCCAAATAATTAAGCTTTGGTTTATTGAGATTCACCTCAGTCACGCAAACTCTGCAGAGATCTATGTTGTTCTTTAAATGCCCATTTTATAGAATATCAATACAGCAAGATGTGAGAAGGTACAGGAATGTTAAATAAGAACTCTCATTATAGACCATTTATTTAGCTTCCAATACAAATTTATGTTAGTGTAATTTTTATGTAATGGAAACAGAAAAAAAAAATCCTCAGATTCTGCAGGAGCAGTTTCAAAATTGAAGTTATTTAATATCATATTTTAAGTACATTTATATCTAAGAAAATAAAAAATAATAAATTTAAGTAAAAATCTGACTATTGAAGAACCTGATGATTAGATTTTGTGGGATGGGGGGTGTTTGGTTCAAACTCGGGCATTTTGCGTGGCAAGTGTGAGATGTTTAAAACAATGGAAAGTTCATGTTGCTCACTGCATGAGGATTTCAAAAAAGACTTTTCTCACAAAGAGTTTGAGTCTTATCTTCATATTAACTCTTGGAAGACGTGTTAGTCATCCATCTTCTATAAAATCAAGACCAAGGAATAAGAACTGGTTCTTGTGTGCCTACCTAACACAAAGTTCCTGTGGTAATGTTTCTTTTCTGTAACAGGCCAACTCCTAAATACATAGACGTTCTTCCTCTGTAACTTCTTACACTTGACTCTAAGCACTCTTTTTTGATTTTTCTGTGCTTGTAATTAAAATTTATTCATGTATGTCTCATATGACCTCTCTTCCTTCCTCTACACCTTACTCTCCTTTCCCTTCTTTTCCTCCCTTTTGTCTTCTTCCTCTCTCTCTTTCTTTATTGTTCTTTATTTCTCTCTCCATTTATTGTTTATAGAGGAAGAAAGGAGATACTGTGCTTACCTAAGTCTACCGAAGAAATCAAATATATACTTATAAAAATTTGCTAACCATTCTTGTAATTTTCTCTATAAAATAGGTATAGATAGATAGATACATAGATGATTGATATATGATAGATAGATGATAGATAGATGATTGATAGATGATAGATAGATAGATAGATAGATAGATGATAGTTAGACATTCAAGTTATAGTTGTTGAACAAGTAATATATAGAGGCGTGCTTCTTAGGGAGTTACCAGTTATATAATTCCTCACATGAGGGAATGTTAATTCTGATTTACCAGAATTAAGTCACTTACATGAATATTAATAGTTGATGACACTGTGAGAACTCATGACTAATTCATGAAAATTGTAATGAGAAACTATGACGAATTCCTGGGGGTTGCTTTTGCAGTAGTTTGTAAGAATGGATGCTGTCTTGTCAGTGTGGCATAGTTGTAGGAGTCAAGAAAGATGGCAGGAAAGGCCAAAAAATGGTAGCAGGTGGAACGTGTGTTCATGCACTGCAGAGGACATGAATCGGTGCAAGCGGTGGCAGTCTAATGTAAACAGAACATCTGAACTTAAAACTAAAGATTTTGAGCTAAATCCCTTATTGAAATGATGGTTTTTATCATAAACTGGAGACATAGATAAACCATGGAAATCTGTCACGTATCTAGTATTTTTCCTGGGAGTAAGAACACAAGCAGAGGGAAGATTTCTATTGCTGCTTTTCTTCTTGGAAGAGATCCTCTGTGAGTTGTTGGTTCAGATAAAATGTTCTTATCTGGTGTATTAAACATGGAGCATGCATTCAGGACACAGTTGTGGAGAATCTTCAATATGGAGGCAGCATATGAGAGAAAGAATGTGACACTTTTAATAAGACTCATTTTTTCCTTAATTTTTAGCTCCCAAATACTGCAAAATGTTTATGCTGTTTAGAAAATGACTGAAGAGTCTAAAGACAGATTAAATTATCCCAATAAAAAGAGTCTAAAAACATGGGAGGTTAAATTTTGTGCCCAGCACACTCTTTTCTGCCTGTTGGCCTTGTGCTGTCCTTGTACCTAACGCCTTGTAATAAATGTAACCACTTGAATCTTTATGCCATTATTGAAGCTTACATATAATATTGGTCATTCCTATTGATAATAACATGTAAATACATTGCACTAGACCACCTGTGTCACAAGCTTTCTTTCTCTTTGTTTTATAAGAGTTTGATATCTTGGATTTGAAATAAATGACTATTATTTCTATGTCAATGAAAATTTTGAAAGTTAGTTTCTTATGTATTTCTTAGTATCATGATGAGAACTGACAGCTAATAACAGCAGACAGTTGTCAGATTATCATGTATAAAGTCTCTTTTCATGATGACCTCACATTAACACCCTCTGTCTTGCTTTGTTACCTTTCAGAAATGTTGGAATCCAACAATTTGATAACATTCAATGGCTTGGCCAACAGCTCCAGTTATCACACTTTCCTTTTGGATGAGGAACGGAGTAGGCTGTATGTTGGAGCAAAGGATCACATATTTTCATTCAACCTGGTTAATATCAAGGATTTTCAAAAGGTACATTCATTCTAAAATATGTACTCTAGTTCTATAAAATTCTTATAAAATTCTACAGCTATTTAACATCAAGACAACTTACAGGAAAATGTTTTAAGTGACTGTTTTCCCTTCAGATGTAAACAAATTTAGTGACAATAATATATGAATGGATGCAGTAAGCCATAAATTTAATGAAGAAGAAATCATAGTACTTTCCATGGTCATTACAAATACCACCTAAGATTTTTCTTTCATAATTATGTCTTTTTCTTCATAAAACTTTCTCCCAGAGCTGTTATAGAAATACAACACAACTGAGTTCGTGTGTGTGTGTGTGTGTGTGTAAATTTATCCATCTCTATTGTCATACTGGTCAGGGTTCATTAAACAACTGCCACATGAGTCATCTGATATTCCTCTTGTGTTTGAAAATAAAGTTTAATTGCAACACAGTCACTTTCATTCATTTGCAGTTTTTCTATGTTATATGTTTCAACAGAGATGAGTGGTTGTGACAAGTCATCTTACCCAAAACATCTCCAATATTTATTATTAGCCTTTTAAGTAAGAATTTTTGCCAACCCTGATCTGGAATATCAGATTTTAAGTGTCAAGTTTTTGCAAATTTGGTAAGCAAAAATCAGCAGGATGTGTTTTATCATTATCCTTTCAGGTTTCTGGTTCATTTCAATAACAAACTATATAGATTATCAAACAAAAACAAGTTGACAAAGTAGAAGAAATCGTTTTGCTGTCTCCATGGTAAAACTTAAGCCAACCACATTCCCCAGGTTTTCTACCACTAAGTCCCTGAAGAGCAAAGTCTTTATACAGTAGCTTTCATGAGAACTGGGCTGTGTATCATTCAGCATGCATATGCACTGGTGTTCACGGGTGTTACATTTGCTTCTTCCCATTGAAGGTGTCAGTGTGGTGTGCCTGAACTACTCATGAACTAGAACAGACTGGATGATAAGCTTAAAAAGTGAATAAATTGCCGGATGTGGTGGCGCACGCCTTTAATCCCAGCACTCAACACTCTGGAGGCAGAGGCAGGCAGATCTCTGTGAGTTCAAGGCCAGTCTGTTCTACATAGCGAGTTCCAGGACACTTGGGACTAAAGGGAGACCCTGTCTCAGAAAAAGACCGAAAAAAGGAAAAAAAGTGAATAAATTGCAAAATGCTTTTGTTTTGGTTGAACATTTCCTTGGCTATAAAATAAAAATTCCTATTAAAATTATTTGTGTCTTTAGTAGAATGTAGCATTAAATCTAAAACTCGGGGCCGTAGAGATAGTTCAGTGGTTCAGAGCTCTTGCAGAGGACCCGGATTTGATTCCCAGCACCCACATGGTGGCTGAAAACCATCCATAGCTCCAGTTTCAGGGGATCTGATGCCTTTTTCTGACCTGGGTGACATGAGTGTACTTACACACATGCAGGCAATACACTCATACATGTAAAAAATAGAAATATAAAAATATATTTTATAAAATAAAAATACGTTTTAAGAAATATATTTATAAATCTAAGACTTTTCTTGATCTTCTGTTACCTATGCACAAGTCCTTATCTATAAAGAGGCTTGAATTAATATGTACATTAATGTAAGTTAACAGTTCTAATATGATATATTTTATGGTTAAAATATGTTACTGAAAATCACCCAAGATATTTATTTTCTGATTTTGAAGCTGAGTAACTCCTAAGCCTACACAAATGATGGTGATAGCTGCCCAATATTACCTATTATTTAAGAAAACTGGACTAGATAGATAATTCAGTGGCTAAGAGCACTTGCCACTCTTCCAGAGGACCCAAGTTCAATTCCAGCACTGACCCACATCAAGGGACCCACAGCGGCCTGTAACTCCAGCTGTGGTGGACTCTACATTTTGTTCTGGCCTCCACAGGAACCTACACATGAGTGCACACACATAAACATATAAGTACATACATACATACATACACACATAAATAAAGAAAAAGATAAAAAGAAAATTGATGAAAAGATAATATATATCTTTCAAAGAATCTTAAAGGGTTCACAAAAATAAGTTTTTTGACATCAATATTTTATCCAAAGGAATCATTCTTTCTGAAATGAATTTAAAATCAAAGTGAATTTTGATATTCTAATTTTAGGATGTTGTATTTGTTAAAATTATCAGGATAATTATATTTTTGTTATTTTTAGAAATTCATATGTACATACATAGATAAACAGAGAGATAATTGATAGATTGTTAGACAGATTGCTAGATAGTGTATAACCAGATTGTACAATGCATTTAACATTTTTCTTTAGATAAATATTATGAAATTTGATACTATAATGAATTGTTTTTAAAAGTTAAAAGGACCAAATCATCCCAATTCCTTATCAGCAATTTGGGTAACCTCTTCAGAGGACGGTGTGATAAGAAGAGGAGGTAGGAATTGGCTAGGCATTTAGGGTAAAAAGACTCCAATGAAAAGTAACCAGTTTCTTGGGTAAAAGTCAAAATGTCCTTGAGCCTCTTACTTAGCATCATACTCTGTTACAAAGGCCAAAAATGTCAAAAGTGTTTGGGAGCTTTTATCTAATGCTTAAAAGGTTTCAGGGCTACCTCTTCAGAGTGGAGAATTTTAGAATAGCAAAAAGCCCCATTTAAAATAAAGAGAAAGAAAGAAAGAAAGAAAGAAAGAAAGAAAGAAAGAAAGAAAGAAAGAAAGAAAGAGATAGAGAGAAAGGGAGAGAGAAAGAAAAGAGAGAGAAAAGAGGAAAGAAAGAGAGAAAGAAGGAACAAAGAAAGAGAGGAAGGAGGGAGAGAGAGAAAGAAAGGAGAAAAGAGAGAAAGACAGAGAGAAGGAAAGAAAGAAGTAGTAATACTGGTGGCTGCTTCCAAATAGGAATCTGGTATAGGGTAAAACTTATTTTTGTTTGTGTATGTTCATGTTTGTGTAGGAGTATGCACATATGTGTGTGGGTGCTTGCATATTGGGGACATACGCTGACATCAGTGTCTTATTTGATGGCTCTCCACCTGATTTTTTTTT